AGGAATGCAGAGTTAGTATTTAATGGGTAGTTTCAGTTGAGAAAGATGAAAAAGTTCTGGAGATGGATGGTGGTGATGGTTGCACAACAATGCAAAAGTACTTAATGCCAGAAAACCTTATGCTTAAAAATGGTTAAAATGTTAAGTTTTATATTACATGTTTTATAATAATAAAAAAAGTTTAAAAAATAATGTTGAAGACAGACATGGAAAGCTGTTCATGATATATTTTTAAGTGAAAAAAGCTGCTAAGATATGATCCCATGTTTTAGAAACTTTTCCTTTTCTTTTTTTTTAATTAATTAATTTATTTGTTTCTTTTTATTTTTGGCTGTGTTGGGTCTTGGTTGCTGTGCACAGGCTTCTCTCTAGTTGCGGTGAGTGAGGGCTACTCTTCGTTGCGGTGTGCAGGCTTCTCATTGCAGTGGCTTCTCTTGTTGCAGAGCACGGGCTCTAGGCACACAGGCTTCAGCAGTTGTGGCATGCGGGCTCAGCAGTTGTGGCTTGCGGGCTCTAGAGCGCAGGCTCAGTAGTTGTGGTGTACGGGCTCAGTTGCTCTGTGGCATGTGGGATCTTCCCAGGCCAGGGCTCAAACCCATGTCCCTTGCATTGGCAGGCAGATTCTTAACCACTGCGCCACCAGGGAAGCCCCTAGAAACCCTTTTCATGCACAGAAAATAAAGTCTGAAAGAGTATACACCAAAATCTTAATGATGATGTCATCTACAGTGGGTGGGATTACAGGTGGTTTTTATTTTTCTCCTCCTTTATGCTCTATAATGAAATCTACGATTTCTGTATAATGAACAGGTATTACTTCCCTAATTTTATTTTTTTTAATAAATTTATTTATTTTTGGCTGTGTTGGGTCTTTGTTGCTGTGTGCAGGTTTTCTCTAGTTGCGGCGAGCAGGGGCTACTCTTTGTTGCTGTGCGCGGGCTTTCTCTAGTTGCGGCGAGCGGGGGCTACTCTTCGATGCGGTGCGTGGGCTTCTCATTGCTGCGGTGGCTTTTCTTGTTGCGGAGCACGGGCTCTAGGTGTGCAGGCTTCAGTAGTTGTGGCACATGGCCTCAATAGTTGTGGCTTGCGGGTTCTAGAGCTCAGGCTCAGTAGTTGTAGCGCATGGGCTTAGCTGCTCCGTGGCATGTGGAATCTTCCAGGCCAGGGCTTGAACCCATGTCCCTTGCATTGGCAGGCAGATTCTTAACCACTGTGCCACCAGGGAAGCCCTCTAATTTTATTTTTAAAGTACTGGCTCAGATGAAACAAAACACCTTATCCCATGACTGCCTTTACAAAATGTGTGAATGTGTCTTCTTTGTTCAAGGTCAAGCCCCAAAGTTGAGGACAGAGTAATACACACAGGTGACCCTCAAAGGAAGGTGTGCTATTGAAACCACCAATTTACTTACCAACTTTGAGAAAAGTTTTGAGTTCCAAGGGTCGCAGCACTGGTTGCTTTTCTATACGACCATAGGTTTCTGCTATGCTCTCTACTTCTACTTTAGGGCATTTAAACAGCTCATAAGTCCCATCCCGGTTCTGGATAAAACTCCGGGTGATTTCCAAAGGCATCTGCATATGGAGACAACACCAAGAAAGGTGAGAAAGGAAAAACTTTCAAAGTAGACAAACATTGGATGACCACAGATTTTATTCATTCTTTTCTAAGTACACTCAAATTAACTAAAATTTCCCCTTGTATTTTCAAGTAAATTTTTTCAACAGTTCTGCCTTTCCTTTTCTCTCTGTAACTTTCATTTGAACCCTTACCAAACCATACTGAACTGAACGCCTAATACCTTCATGGCTACCTGACTGCTACTGGCACAGACCTGCTCTAAAATCAGTTTTATTCCCTCCCCTACTGCTCTGCTAGCAGCAATCTTCTCCTAAAAACCCTACCAATAGCACCTATAGCTGACCTCACATCCTGTGTGCTTCCACCATCCTTGGGACTAAGCCAGACAGAGCTTGAACTGAATTTTGCCTTTGCCACTAAAGAGCAGGCTGAGCTTCTCATAGCCTGTTTCTCATCTGCAAAATACTGTTAATACCAGTGCATGGTTGTGAGACTGAATGGGGTGATACAGGTAAGTAACGTGCAACACAGAAGCTCCACGACTTGACTTTGCTCTGGGGCTGCTGCAGTGCCTCCCTGAACCCCGCCCTTTTCAGGCTAGAAGCTGTTTCTGCGACATCCTCCATTTAAAGAAGTTCCTCAAGTGTCTTTAGTGCGAACATAGGCCTTTCCTAAAGTTCCCATGTAAGTTCTATAGTTACCAAACAATTTATTTTTCTGAACATAACAGTGCCTTGCAATTCAGCTAATCTTAATGTATTAAATCACATGATGCTGAGTTTTCCACACTCTTCCATTATCATAGGAAGGGAAAATCCTCACATTTTTAGGATCTGCTTGAAAAAAAATGTTTATAAATGTCTAATACTGCCCCTGTGAGAAAAAAACAAACTAATTAAGAATCATGTCTCTAATGAGAACTAAATTGCAGTTTGGAGAGGAATATTGAATTGTGCTGGACCCACGGACTTCACAAATAGCATATCATCTCAAATTATATATATACTTTCTAGCTGCTTGCCAGTTACCCTGGGGCTCACCATGGCTAGTAGGGGATCATTATTTAATTTACAAGAAAGAGCATCCCTGTTTTCTGATCCCAAAGGCAAAGAAAAAAGGATACTCCAATTTAAGATACATCCTCAAGCTACAGGGAATACCTATTAAAATCAGAGTTGGAACAATAAAGCCATGAATATTTCTGAATAATCTCTTAGTATGAAAAAAAGGAATTCTCTTTGGTGTCCATGACTCAAGGAGCTGGTACAAACAAACTTCCCGCACTTGCTTCCCTCTCTTCCCCTCTCTGCCCTCCCACTATTGTAGAAATAAAATCTTACCTCTGGGGTATCTAAGATTTGTTTAACTTGCAGGATATTCGTGATATGCCAGGTATACTTGGAAAAGGTTCCCAGTGGCAAAGCATCTTTGCGAACAAAAGCTTCAAGGTAAAAAAGGGGTAAAATTAGACTATCGAAAAATAACATGCTCTTTCACTGAATTTGTTATCCAGTTTCTGGAGAGTTCAATAAAGTGATACTCCTGCCTTATAGAATCTCAGTCCTCTAAAAAAGGTATTTTATACACACACACACACACACACACACACACACACGTTTTGGGCTGGCCAAAAGGTTTGTTCGTTTTTTTCCATAAGATGGCTCTAGTATTGCTTAGTGGTCTTTTTTTTGCGGTACACGGGCCTCTCACTGCTGCAGCCTCTCCCTTTGCGGAGCACAGTCTCCGGACGCGCAGGCCCAGCAGCCATGGCCCACGGGCCCAGCCGCTCTGCGGCACGTGGGATCCTCCCGGACTGGGGCACGAACCCACGTCCCCTGCATTGGCAGGCGGACTCTCAACCACTGCGCCACCAGGGAAGCCCTGCTTAGTGGTCTTTAACTTCATTTGAAACAATCTTGTTAGATTGTATTGTGACAACTGTCATATCAGTTGCATTTAAAAATAACATCAAAATTGGTGAATTTCTGTGTATCCATTTTAATATTGAAGATGGAAGAAAAAAAGCAACATTTTCCGCATATTATGCTTTATTATTTCAAAAAAGGTAAACATGCAACTGAAACACAAAAAAATTTGTGCAGTGTATGGAGAAGGTGCTGTGACTGATTGAATGTGTCAGAAGTGATTTGCGGAGTTCTGTGCTGGAGATTTCTTGGTGGACGATGCTCCACAGTTGGGTAGACCGGTTGAAGTTGATAGCGATCAAATCAAGACATTAATTGAGAACAATCAACATCATACCACGTGGGAGACAGCCGACATACTCAAAATATCCAAATTAAGCGTTGAAAATCATTTGCAGCAGCTTGGTTATGTTAATCGCTTTGATGTTTGGGTTCCACATAAGTTAAGTGAAAAAAACCTTCTTGACTGTATTTCCTCATGCAATTCTCTACTGAAACGTAATGAAAATGTTCTGTTTTTAAAACAAATTGTGATGGGTGATGAGAAGTGGGTACTGTACAATAATGTGGAATGGAAGAGATCTTGGGGCAAGTGAAATGAACCACCACCAATGACACCACAGGCCGGTCTCCATCCAAAGAAGGTGACGTTGTGTATGTGGTGGGATTGGAAGGGAGTCCTCTATTATGAGCTCCTTCTGGAAAACCAGACGATTAATTCCAACAAGTACTGCTCCCAATTAGACCAACTGAAAGCAGCACTCAATGAAAAGTGTCTGGAATTAGTCAACAGAAAACGCTTCATCTTCCATCAGAATAACGCAAGACCGCATGTTTCTTTGATGACCAGGCAAAAACTGTTAGAGCTTGGCTGGGAAGTTCTGATTCATCTGCCGTATTCACCAGACATTGCACCTTCAGATTTCCATTTATTTCGGTCTTTACAGAATTCTTTTAATGGAAGAAATTTCAATTCCCTGGAAGACTATAAAAGACACCTAGAACAGTTCTTTGCTCAAAAAGATAAAAAGTTTTGGGAAGATGTGGGATTATGAAGGTGCCTGAAAAATGGCAGAAGGTAGTGGAACAAAAGGGTGAATATGTTGTTCAATAAAGTTCTTGGTGAAAATGAAAAATGTGTCTTTTATTTTTATTTAAAAAACGAAGGAACTTTTTGGCCAACCCAATATATATATTTTTTGGCCGTTCCGTGCAGCTTGAGGGATCTTAGTTACCCCACCAGGGATCGAACCTAGCCCCGGCAGTGAAAGTGCTGAGTCCTAACCACTGGACTGCCAGGGAATTCCCTAAAAAAGGAATTCTAGAAGCAAATCTATAATAGAGTTTTGGCAGAAATGTGATGAATCAAATGATAAGGATTTCTGCTATAAAAATTCTCTGATGCTTCTTTTGAGATACTACTTATTTTTGACATCTTGGCAACTTGTTTGTTTGGTAAGTCTACACACAGAGGACTCTATTATAAAACAGCCTCTTACAACTTTAGATAAGTCAGAGGTCAAATCATAGTCCTTAAAATAACTACACAGAGTTTAAGCCTGCTCACGTGGTTGCCAATCTATTGCCCTGCCTCCCAGATTATAAAGGGGTTCCACTGAAGGACCCAAAAAGATCTAAGCAATGGGTTAAAATTAATGTATTAGGCCTAAAATGGTTTGTTTTTGTTTTTGTTTTGGCTGCACTACTCAGCATGCGGGATCTTAGTTCCCCGACCAGGGATCGAACCCATGCCCCTTCAGTGGAAGTGTGGAGTCCTAACCACTGAACTGCTAGGAAATTCCAGGCCTAAAGTTTAAACTGGAAGCATCAACACTGTCTCAAGGGACTTCCCTGGTGGCACAGTGGTTAAGAATCCGCTTGCCAATGCAGGGGACACGGGTTCGAGCCCTAGTCCGGGAAGATCTCACATGCTGTGGAGCAACTAAGCCCGTGCACCACAACTACTGAACCTGTGCTCTAGACCCTGTGAGCCACAACTATTGAGCCCACGTGCCACAACTAATGAAGCCCATGTGCCTAGAGCCCATGCTCGGCAACAAGAGAAGCCACCAGCCCCTGCTCCCCGCAACTAGAGAAAGCCCGTGTGCAGCAACGAAGACCCAACATGGTCAAAAAAAAAAAAAAAAGATAAATAAATTTATTTTTAAAAAATACTGTCTCAAAAGTCAGATAGATAAGATAAGGTGTAAAGACAGAGATTTTTATGGCCCTAAACAGAGAGATTCACAGCTTGTACTATTAAAAGACAGAATTAAACATCAGTCCTGGGAATCTCCTGGAGGTTCCGTGGTTAGGACTCTGAGCTTCCACTGCAGGGGTACAGGTTCGATCCCTGGTCAAAAACTAAGATCCCGCATGCTGAATGGCTCAGCCAAAAAACAAACAAACAGAAACACTTCAGTCCCTATTACATCATCAAATAACAATTTACTGAAGAAATAGCTCTGATTTCTAGCTGTAGTTACTCTTGGGCTATTTGTCCCTGAGCAACCTTTTCCTTCTTTTCTCTCCCTTATTTCCTTATTCTACCAAATAAGTATCTTGAGATCTCTAGTAGAAAGATATTATATAAAACCAAGAAATAAGTATCAGAATACTGTAATTATAAAATGTTCCAAGCCTGAGAATCACTCTAAAAATAAAATCTCCCTTCATCAAAAATGGGGAATCATGAAAAACAAATTTTAGTTTTTGACACATACTGTAATATGCTTCCAAGAAGCCAGCCCAAACAACAATTGGAGACTGCAATGCTTTTGTTGAAATTGGTTCATATCTAGAAAATATCCAACTTCTTGGTGGGCACCTTCATTGTGCTTCATCGGTGATTCTTTTACCAACATTATGCTTTCGGAATCTTTCTATCAACTCTTACTAGCATAAGCATGGGGCCTTTGAAGAGTGTGATCATTATTCTAAGAGCTGATGGGCTAAGGCTTCATGCTCTGAGCATGTAACTAGAAATCCTAATCATGAAAATTCCACACAATTTTTCCAAACATTATTCTCTACGGTCAAGACATCTATTGCTATTCCTGAGGAAAAATCCCATACCTGTGGTAGAGTTGGGAAGCCGTTTTTTTGCACTTCCTATGGATATTCTCTGTTGCAGGGCATCAAAAAAGGACTGAGGAATGTGGAACACCAGTGGCTCTGGTTTGCCTATAGGAAATAAGAAGAAGCTCATTTAAAGAAACTCAGTGGGCTTTCTGGTGTGTAGGGGAAGGTGGAAGAAATGGAATTGATGGGGAGTAAGAACTAAAAGTACCACTGAGATTTTTTTTTTTCTCTCTCTCTTTTTTTTTTTTTTTTTTTTGCGGTACGTGGGCCTCTCACTGTTGTGGCCTCTCCTGCTGCGGAGCACAGGCTCCGGACACGCAGGCTCAGCGGCCATGGCTCACGGGCCCAGCCACTCCGCGACACGTGGGATCTTCCCGGACCGGGGCACGAACCCGCCTCCCCTGCATCGGCAGGAGGACTCTCAACCACTGCGCCACCAGGGAAGCCCTGAGATTTCTTTATACAGAGACAAAAAGAAGTCTTTGATTGACCTTTATGAGTCAAGCACTGTCGCCTGCCCTACTCTTGATCCCTTGCAATTATAACAAATACAGCACACTCTTGTCATCTACCAAAGATAACTTTTCAAATCCCTAATTTTGTAAACACTGCCACAGCACAGACTTCTCCCTTTAAAGAGGACATGAAATGAGATGAGAACATTGAGGCTGAGATGAGAAGGTAAGCTTGATTCACTGCTGCTCACTATCCCAGGCACCTGCTGTTTGCATTCATTTTCTCAGATGGTCAGGACTGCCAATGCCAGAGACTGCAAAGTTAGGACACTTTATCCAATAAGCATCAGTCTCCTCTCTGATGTGAAGACAGGCAAACTGTTTGAAAATACGTAACAAACCTCTTTTAAAAATTAGCAAGGAAAAAAAAAAAGTTGCCAGACACTAGGTCAACAGAAAGAGGGTTCAGGGGAGAGGGTGAAAGAGTTCAGAGTTTTCCTTAAAAATTCTGCCCAAGAAGCACGCTCCAACAGAGGGAAAACATCCAGAACCACATGGCTTAACATGAACCTCCCCCCTGCCTGTAGAAGGTGTAGTTCTTAAATACAGTTCAGCTGCCTTTCTGAAATAAAGATCAAGCCAAGAAAAATGAAAATGAAAGGTTTTCTAGAATTCCATATTAAGGTTTTACATTCTGTCAATTGATTTTACCTACTTAATTGAATGCAGAATGCCAATGACAAAACTGTCACTGCTTTTGAGCCACTAAAATTTTTTTTTAAGTTATTATTTATTTATTTGTGACTGCATCGGGTCTTAGTTGCGGCACGCGGGATCTTTCATTGCAGTGCGCGGGCTCTTCATTGTGGTGTGCAGGCTTCTCTCTAGTTGTGGCGTGCGGGTTTTCTCTCTCTAGTTGTGGTGCCTGGGATCCAGAGCGCATGGGCTCTCTAGGTGAGGAGCTCGGGCCTTAGTTGCCTCACGGAATGTGGACTCTTAGTTCCCCAACCAGGGATCGAACCGGCATCCCCTGCATTGGAAGGCAGATTCTTTACCACTGGACCACCAGGGAAGTCCCAAGCCACTAAAATATTAATATCTGGGCAGTTTAGAGAAGTCACTACAGAAAGGTTTTTTAAATCTTTCATCTTGAAATTAGATTATGGGCTATCTGCAGAGATCATTACAACTCTAAAACTGCTAACTTACCACAACTCAGCTGATGGGATGCTAGGGTTTAGGTAAATTAATCTTGAAAAGCCCTTGTAAAAGACAGAATCACAGTCCAGGAGAGAGCTGATGGTGACTTTGACAAAGGTGGTGGTAATGGAGATGGTGAGAGCGGGTGTTACGAAGAATGGGATGAAAACGGACCACAGTTTATAGTTTACATTATTGTCAATGCTCTATTTTAAGTTCTGGGAGGTGGGTTAGTAGGTATTTATTATATTATTTAAAACAATATATAAATAACTTTTTAAAAGAAAAGAAAAACATAGACTTTCTCTTTAACCTTCCCTAGCTTATTTTGTTTTTCTAAAAAGTAACTTCCGAAGTATTATTTATTCTGAATTAATATAAATAAAACTAAGCATGTATTTCAACACCTCCATTCTTGTCCCTTTCTTCAGCATGAAGCCACAATCCTTCAAAACTCATGTCCTCCTACTGAGTGTCTGCTGTTGGGCTACTATTCAGTTTGGGGTTCTTTATTTTTAAAATGATATTCATAAACTTCAACATATTCAGCAAAGAACATCAAAATGATGTGAGGTTTGTAAATATGCCACGAGGAGTGTTTGAAGACCTGAGATGTATCACTTGGAAAACAGAAGACCTGTCAGGCAGAGCAAAGGGTGTGTGCAGTGGCAGGGACTGTTATTTGAAAACAGGAACAGACTTATTCCATGTGACTAGAGCACAGAACTAGAACCAACAGGAAGTATTATCAGCAAACATTTCCACTTAGTATGAGGAAGACCTTCCTCACAGTTCTCACTGTCTAACAATGTCACGAGCTGCCTCAAAAAGCAGTCAGCTGCTCATCACTGCACAAAGCCTGGAAAACCATCCATCAAGGATGCTTTTAAGGCAATGGGCAAGGCTTGGTTGGATGGTCCACCTCTGAAACTGCTGAGGTTCTATGAGGCTATCACGATCAACCCAAATCCAGCTTGTGTTCTCCAATCTTCCTTCGCGTGTCTGTGTAATTTTATATGACTGTCTTAGTCTCACAGGTTTAGATTTTTTCTAAACTATTTCCTCCCTTGCTTTAAGTTTGAGGATTAGAATGATCTTCTAAGGCTTTGGTATCTCCCTTACCAAATACACACCCATGCATACCCCAAGACCAAGGCCCTCTACCTTTACTTATTATTTGCTGTGGTTTTTCTCTTCCATCTCTAAATTCATTTTGCTGGTCCTGCATTTTGATTATGTGATTATTCCTTGAATTCATTTAGATTTCTACTCTCTTGCGGCCCAGTGCACTCTAGACTGAAGCCCAATTACTTTTTCTATCAAAACAGAGTAGAACTATAACACAATTACTTTAATTTCTCCTACTTTCAGCAATAGCCCAGTTGGATGACCAATACTTACCATCAAACTGATAGTGCATGGTTTGATGGATGCGTTCTGTGACACTGGCCAGCCAGTCGTGGAAGGATAAGGTCACTTGTGCCTCATCTAACAGCTGACTACAGCCTAGGGAAAAACAAAACAAAACTCTTCATTAACTTTTTTCTTACAGAACTTAACAGTTAATTGAAGTTTGAGGAGTTTATACATAAAAGAGGAACAAGCTGAAATTCAAAGAAAGTAGATACAATAAGTGAAATGGAATATTGCAGGATTCTTTTAAAGAATCCAACTAGGAAAAAAAAGAAAAAGGAATAGAAAGCTCTGAGAGACTAATGGGTTTAAGATTGTTAACCACAAAAAATTTGCAGCCTTTCAACATCAAACTGCTAATTGAAGAATGGCCTTGTATAATGGCTGTTTTAGAGCCATTAACTGGCCCTATTCCTGATGAATATGTCTATATACCCAATGACCTACCATTCTATTCTATTTCTTCTCCTGAAATGTTTTCATATGACTGAAGTATATATCCCCTTTTATTATTATTATCATTTTTAAATATTTATTTATTTTATTTTTGGCTGCGTTGGGTCTTTGTTGTGGTGTGTGGGCTGCTCATTGCGGGGGCCTCTCTTGTTGCGGAGCACAGGCTCTAGGCGCACAGGCTTTAGTAGTTGTGGCTCGCAGGCTCTAGAGCACAGGCTCAGTAGTTGTGGCACACAAGCTTAGTTGCTCCGCGGCATGTGGGATCTTCCCAGACCAGGGCTCGCACCCGTGTCCCCTGCATTGGCAGACGGATTCTTAACTACTGTGCCACCAGGGTAGCCCTATCCCCTTTTATAAAGAGATAATGATGCCAAACCTACTATTCATTTAAATTACAATTCTCACAAATAAATGCATATAGTGATAATTTGGATTAAAAGCTATTTTCTTTTTTCTTTGCACCAAAGTGATAAAAATTTGTTTAAAATCTTCTACCAGATACTTTTTTTTTTTTTTTTTTTTTAAATTCAGGAAGAGCTTGTAACACGATCCCATTTCAGTCAAATTGAACGGACGTGCAGGCTCAGCGGCCATGGCTCACGGGCCCAGCCGCTCTGCAGCATGTGGGATCTTCCCGGACCGGGGCACGAACCCGTGTCCCCTGCATTGGCAGGTGGACTCTCAACCACTGCGCCACCAGGGAAGCCCTACCAGATACTTTTGATTTGTTTACTTCCTGACCTTCCAAAAACATTTATTCTTGGACTGTGTAAGTTCTTAATTAATTAATTAATTAAGATTTGGTCTTGTATTGTTTGCTATTTATGTATCGGTCTTGTCTTCAAAACCAGAGTATGAGGGCAGGGATAATGTCTAATTTTTAATCACCCAGCCATATTATATGAGAGTTAAGAAAATGTCGACCCCCAAACATACAAGCTTAACTATTCTGAGTAGAAAATTGACATATATAAATTTATAAGTTATATCCAAATTAATTCATTCTGTCTCTTAAATGTTACTGCTTTTAGGTGTTTTCAAAGTTCACTAACTTTGGAGAACAGACTATATTTGTCTTTCTCAACAAATATTTATCAGTATAATTGTAAGATATGTTTCTTCTTCAATTTGGAACCCCTATACCAAAATGCATATGGGTAATCAGCAACAAAAGGAAAATATTTTACAAAATACATGCTGCCAAAACATGTCAGTAATTTTTGTTGCATTTGTTATTTAAAGACAATTGGGGTGGGGGGCTTCCCTTGTGGCGCAGTGGTTAAGAATCCGTCTGCCAATGCAGGGGACACAGGTTCCAGCCCTGGTCTGGGAAGATCCCACATGCCGCGGAGCAACTAAGCCTGTGCGCCACAACTACTGAAGCCCGTGCGCATAGAGCCTGTGCTCTGCAACAAGAGAAGCCACCGCAGTGAGAAGCCCGTGCACCGCAATGAAGAGTAGCCCCGCTCGCCGCAACTAGGGAAAGCCTGTGTGCAGCAACGAAGACCTAATACAGCCAAAAAAAAAAAGACTATTTGGGGGACTTCCCTGGTGGTCCAGTGGTAAAGAAACCACCTTACAATGGAACGGACGCAGGTTTGATCCCTGGTTGGGGAACTAAGATACCCCATGCCACGGGGCAACTAAGACCAGGTGCCACAACTACTGAGTTCGCGAGCGTCAAATAGGGAGCCTGTGTGCCGCAAACTACAGAGCCCATCCATTCTGGAACCTGCATGCCACAACTACAGAGCCCACGCGCCCTGGAGCCTGTGCGCCACAGCTAGAGAGAAGCCTGCACACCACAACGAAGAGCCCGCGCGCTGCCACGAAAGATCCACACGCCTCAACGAAGATCCCAGGTGCCGCAACTAAGACCCGATGCAGCCAAAAATAAATAAGTAAATAATAAATCTTAAAAAAAAAAAAAAGACAATTTGGTTTTGAGCCTGATTTGAGACCAGTGGGACTGACAGCACAGATCTTAGCCTTCAGTGCCTGCTAGTATTCATCTAGGGGGACAATATGCAGCATTTCTTTTGATTATATTGCTTTGGGCATCATTTTTTTTTTTTTTTGCCACCCTGCTCAGCCTGTGGGATCTGACCAGGGATCCAACCCATGCCCCTTGCATTGGTAGCGCAGAGTCTTAACCACTGGACCACCAGGGAAGTCCCCTCTTTGGGCTTCTTCAGGATGATTTTCCAACTCTTGAGCCTATCCTGGGGAAGAGAAACTTACCCTGCCTTTTTAATGAAGAAGCAACCACAGGCTTTTTCAGGCCACTTTTCCTTAGATTACTGCTCACTGCATCTTGAGGCAGCAGTGAACTGTTCGTCTGTGCACCTAAACCACAAATCATTATAGTGTTTAATAAAATGTCTGCAGAATATAAATCGATTCAATATTAATTTCTGAAGTCTAAAACATACAAAAAGTCTGCTAATTTCTAAGTTAGCTTCAGTTTCTAGAAAGAATTAGCATTAGTCTTTATACATAACATTTTAAATGTCTCACACTCTTTACAGGAAGTTGGTGGGGGGGACAAGAAGTGAAAGGAAGAAAAAACTTCACCCTTTGTTCCCACCTTTCAGACAATCACTATTAATTTTCTGGTGAACTACTGTCCATTTTCTTTTTTGTAAATAGTTTATTTTGCTGGTTTTGTGCTTTAAGTAGCTCTAAATATACCGGGATTGCCAGATTTAGCAAAAAAAATTTTTTTTGAACTTCAAACAAACAAATAATTTTTTAGTATAAATATGTTCCAAAGATTGCATGGGAAGTACTTATACCAAAAAATTATTCACTGTTTATCTGAAATTCAAATTGAACTGAGCATTATGTACTCTATCTGGCTACCCGAGTGAGCTGACATTTCTCCAAACTCTTTATAGTCATTTTTCATGGCTGCCTGGTATTCTATCAAGTGGTTTATCATGGGTCATTTAACTATCCCCAGTGGCTGGCCCTTAGTTGTTTCTAATTTTTCAATATTATAAATAACTACACAATAGGCATCTCTGGACAAAATGCTTTTCCTGTACAAAGGATTATTTCCTTAAAAAAAGATTATTTAGAAGTGGGATTACTGAGTTAGAGGGTAAAAAAATTTTTTTTAATTTCAAATTTTCCTGGGAAAGACCCATAATCAAACATTTAACCACGATCTCTGCTCTTTATTGCTGCCAGAATTACCCCTCAAAAACACAGAAATAACCATGTCGCTTTGTTTCTCCAGCTTCCCAGCACCTGAATGCCTGTGCCTGACCATCTGACCCACCTGCAGCAATACTCCCTCTATGGGTAGGAACATTTTTTAAGGTTCTTAACAGATACTACAAATGATTAAAGCAACTTACACTACACTAGCCATGCTGAAGAACACAGATTTTACCTTTGCCTGTGGTCTCATCGCTTAAATATCTTTGCTGATTTGGTATCCCAAAGTATCTTGTTTTAATTCTGCATTTATAAAATGCTTGCATTTCTCTCTTCACTAGTGTATTTGGAGTTTGGTCCTCAGGTGCGGACCAGTAATATTTTCCTTTTGTTTACAGCCTAGGTTGTTTTTTTAAAATTATTTTTTAAAAGATTTATTTATTTGGTTGCGCTGGGTCTTAGTTGTGGCATGTGGGATCTTTGTTGCCACGTGTGGGATCTTTAGCTGTGGCATGCTAATTCTTAGTTGAGGCATGTGGGATCTAGTTCCCTGACCAGGGATCGAACTCAGGGCCCCTGCATTGACAGCACGGAGGCTTAGCCACTGGACGACCAGGGAAGTCCCTAGAGCCTAGGACTTTTAACACTTACCGACTAGGACACTTCAGCATTTTCATACTGATTTATATGAGTCTTTAACTGACACTGATATATTTGAATTTAAAAAGAAAAAAGATACACATATGTTGCCACCTGCTGAAGATGCAGATAACAAACTATATTGCTAAATTATCGTGGAAAATATAATTAACCATTGTCACAAATTTAAAAAAATATATCTGTTGATGAAAATTTCATAACACTGTCCTAAGGCAGAGAAAGGTGTAAGACTAGTCTGATTGATTAAGGGATGAGCAAAGTAAAAGTGGAGTTTGGTCAGATCTTATACTTGGCCAGTAGAACCGACTCTTGGCTTCACTTGAGAAAGAATCATCAAGGGAGAGTAAAACTCTTTGCAGGAAACAACAACAACATTATTTCTTATACTTGTTGAGATTCAGTGAAACACATAAAACACAGTAAAACCACCTCTAAAGGTAACACCACCAAACAAACCAACCAAACAGCTTCTCACCAGATACTTCCTCCTTCTTCCTCTTCTTTGGCTTAGAGGCAGTAGACTCACAAGCTGATACTGTTGATTCTGAATGGCAACCTAGCTGGGGCACAATAACCTCCTTTAGACCTAAAATATAACAAATTTCTGAATTATTAATGCTACCCAAGAGTAAGTATGGGTCCCTATCTAGAGAAAATTAACTTCTAAAAATCCAAATCCCCAAAACAAATTATAGAGTGACTGTCTGCTTTAAAATCAGTTCCTTTAAAGAACTCTCCCAAACATATGTTTTTGTTCGTAGACCGTTAATACGATAAAAGGCTCTACAGAGAAATGTAAAACTAAAAAATTGGGAGCTGCTGCCAACTAAACATCGTTCAGAAATGAAAATAAAAAGCATCTACAAGATAAAAATGTTAAAAACCTAAGATGATGTGGAAACATTTAAAGATCTTTTGAGCAAGGTACTAGTTTTCCCCATCTTCAGAGATAAGAAACAAGCAAGCAAGACAAAATAAAAGGGATTTTGTTTGTTTGTTCTTTGTTTTTACTAACATAGGGCATCTGTGGAGTAAAAAAATCAAAGCTAACTTTGCTAGATTCATTGTTTCAATGAAAATGCACAAGTAGTGTCTTGATCATTAATTTCAACTAACAAACCAACCAAACTTTATGCAAGTATGCTCACTGGGATAAAAAGAAAGAATGCTTTTCATTTGATTTATCTAGCAACTGCTTCTGAAGGTTGCTAGGACAATCTCCAAATGCCATCAGTGGGACACTTTCATTGCCATTTTAGAAAAACAGAGTAACTGTGTCAACGACACCACCTACCGCTGGAATCAAAATTTAGGAAGTCTGAGAATTCCTGAGCCAATGTCTCGTCACTGGCAAAGGCACAGATGCAAGCAAAGAAATGAATGCATCTCTGGACCGCCTCATCCTTGGAGGCATTCGACTTCTGTGATTTCAGAGTCTGGCAGGAGCAGAAGAAACGGCGCTCAGGCAAGCTTTTGGCACTGATTTTCTGCACAAACGATGTATGCAAATACCCCAAACTATGCTTCTGGCTTGCCTTGCATTTCACCACCAAAATGTTTTTAGTAATCCTCTGTACAAGGGGACCTGTGGGTTCCGTGGCCAACTGCCAGATGGTTTGCTTGGTTTCTGGGGAGGCCTGCACTGCATTCAGGACCGAGCTCTTTAGCGTCAGAGGGGTGGCCTCTGCCTGGCAGTTCACGGCCAGCTTGATGTGCTGGCACTGGTTTTCCACAACACCCTGGGTGGCAGCTTTCAAGCATGTGGGGACATAACACCGTCCAGAGGTCAGCTGAGTGATGAGCGTCCCATCCACTGTCTGGATGGTCGTCTCTGAAACACCTAGCTCCACAAAGCATCGGTAATCAGGGCCCCGGTCTCTTTGCCGAACCGAGTAGACTTGCAGATCAGAGCCTGTTATGATTTTGACAGCTTCAACACTAGGCTGCTTCCGTGCGCCATACCGGAATATGGTTCCACATGTCTTGTTCTTACAGCTCAGTCCCCGGGTTCCATTGTATGTGCCACAGCGGGGACACTTCCTGATTCCCCTCAATGTGGCCTTCCCCAAATCAGATAAGAAAGCTGGGACTTTTGTCCTTAGAGAGTTTGGTTCCATTTTTCACAGGTCCTAGAAAAGGCAATAAGCCCATCAGCATGAGTATACATGCACACACACACATGAAGTTAAAATCACTTACGATATTTAGTATACAAAGTAAAACGTAAGAAGCTATCCACTATTTTCAAATTGTACCCTCAAAGAGAACATCCACTTAAACCCTCAAGTAAAATAAAAGTGGGAGGAGATATGGGGATATATGTATAGCTGATACACTCTTATAAAAGCAGAAACTAACACACCATTGTAAAGCAATTATACTCCAATAAAGATGTTTAAAAAAAAAAAGTGGAGGAAACTTTGCCTTTCACATTTCACATCGCTCTCTCTCTCTCTCTCTACATATATATATATATATATATATATATATATATATATAATTTTTTTTTTTTTGGCCGCATTTCATGGCATGTGGAACTTTCCTGACCAGGGATCGAACTTGCGCTGCCCCTGCAGTGGAAGCACGGAGTCTTAACCACTGGACCACCACGGAAGCCCTCTCTCTATATTTTTTAAGTCCTAATGCAATAACTGAAGCATTTTTCTAGATTCAATCCTGTTCTATACAACAACCTAGATTAGTTAACCTACATCTTTTTTTTTTTTTTTTTTTGGCCATGCCACGTGTCTTGTGGGGATCCTCAGTGGTGAAAGCGCAGAGTCCTAACCACTGGACCACCAGGGAATTCCCTAGTTAACCTAATCTTTACATGCACAGATGTTTGACTTGAGCAAAGACTGGAGAATGGGAAAGATGAGTTCTTTCCCTTCCACCATTCCCCACAAAACCCAGCCCAATCCTACCTCTATCAGTTGCCAGAGCATCCAGAAAAAGTGTAAGCTGAATTCATAAGACCTAAAAGGTGTTTCATTAGTTTGTGATGATCATATAGGACAGACGAAGACATAATCATGTGCATAGTAAATGACACTGCTTAACTCAAAGTCTTCTGAAATTGAGCTCTGTGGTGTAACAATGCAGACATTCTGCCTTCTCCTTCTCAACCAGCCAATGGCAAAGCTCATGTCCAGTGTTCCACAAAGATTCTCACTGCCCTAAGTAAAACAGGAAACATATTAAAGTCATACAAAGACAGAATGATTCTTTCCTCCTAGAAACGGAATCTAAGTCTTTCACAAATACTTGAGAAATATTTGATAGAAATTGTTATAGTTGCTTTATACTTTGAATCACAAGAAGGTAAAACAGTGTTAATGTCATTACACAAGGAGTTGTCAAGAACACCTAGAGCCATGGTATATAATTGGTTGAACACTCATCCTTCCTAATAGTAATGCACTGCATTTTTAGAGTACTTTATGCTTTTCAAAGTGATTTCACATTCATTATTTCATTTGAACCTCGCCATATTAGTATCTTATTTGAGCCAAACAACAATTGCTCTTCAGATGAAAATCAAAAAGTTAAGTAACTTGCCTGAGGCCACCCAGCAAAATCAGCAATGTGGTTTCTACTAACCCAGTGTCTGCTAAAAAGAGTGCGAATCTGATTTTGATTTCCAATATTATGAAAATTTTCAAACATATAAAAAAATTGAATTATACAGTCAACCTTCATATACCCACCCACTAGATTCTACAATTAACATTTTACTATATTTGCTTTATTACATACCTATCCATCCCTTTCTCCATCTAATCCCTTTCAAATTTTAATGCCTTTCAAAGTAAGTTACAGGTATCAGATCGGCATGCATATTATTAACTAAAGTTTAATATTTTTAATGCTTTTTAGAAAGGTAAATCTGCTTGTGATTTTGAAGTAAGGTGTTAGCTTTGCTTTTCCTCCCTGACCCCAAAGAATGGTCTTTTTTTTTTTCCCCGCTGCGTTGTGTCTTCGTTGCTGAACGCGAGCTTTCTCTAGTTGCGGAGAGTGGGGGCTACTCATCGTTGTGGTGCGCAGGCTTCGCATTGCAGTGGCTTCTCTCGTTGCGGAGCACGGGCTCTAGGCGTGTGGGCTTCAGTAGTTGCAGCACGCGGGCTCAGCAGCGGTGGTGCACGGGCTTAGTTGCTCCGCGGCATGTGGGATCTTCCCGGACCCGGGCTTGAACATGCATTGGCAGGTGGATTCTTTATATATATAT